GGGAACAACCCAGTATGGGGTGTCAACCAATAGCAGGGCACACTCACACATCAGTCACTCACACATGCACTAAAATATAACTAAATAATAAATACATTTTTTGATTGTGCATATGACCTGAAACCTCTTCCCAATAATGCATAAAATAAGCAAAGAAATGGCAACACAATTTTTCCTGCAGGGTTACAGTAGGAAACATGGATAAATCTGGACAGCATGATGAATTTAATCCGGACCCTACTCAGCAAATTTTATCGTCGGGGACACCCCCCCTCCCCCTGCTTGACAAATTCCATCATGGGCGACAATCCCCCCCCCCGCAATGATCTGACCCTATCATCACCCATGACCCCCGTGTTTACAGGTATGTGGCCTTTGCGGGGGAGGTGCAAACTCTTCGGCTGGCGTCAGGACCAGATGAATCGCAGTCAGATCTGTCACCCGGTGTGTCTGGCACAGTACTGGCCGCTGCAGGAGCGCCTCACTCCCCAGCAGGCTGGGGAAGACGAGGCGATCTCCTTGCCTGATAACGACACGCTGACCTTTTACTGCAGCTGCATTGCCCTGATTGGGAGAACAGTGTCATCATGCATGCTGGGAGCTGGGCTGAGCGCTGTGATCGCCTCAGTGGGGTGCAGCCTTCCATCTGGTAGGCAGGACTCACAGCTAATCCCCCTGAGTCGGCTGATCACAAACCCCATGCCTCCCTCTACCTGCGCCCATCTACCCCCTTATCTGGCACGTCACTCTGTCCCCCCACTCTCAACTCATCTCTAAACTCCCAGCACCAATCCAGGTTGTCCCGTGTAGCTCTGCCCCCTGCGCGTCTTTGCCCATCATGAGAGGGAACGAGATTTCTACAATATCTATGTAAAATTAACACAACACATTACCCAGAAAGAAAAAGGAAAAGCAAAGGTTAAATAGTTAGTGGTATGAGAACTAGTTAAAGTATACATTTATACAGTATGTGTAGAGGTACTGTGTAACACAATTAAACCATTACTAACATCCATCCATTTTCTGTTCCCGCTTATCTTATTCAGGGTTGTGGGGGACTGGAGCTTATTCTGGAGGCTAGGATGAGGCCAGAACCACTCACAGGACACACTCACAGAGACACACCTATGGGCAGTTTGGTACTGTGACTCCAGTTAGCCTCAGTATGTTTCTGGACTGTGGGGGCAAACTGGAGCAGCTGGAGGAAGCCTCACGAACCAGGGAGGACATGCATCTGTTTTATACCCATTCGTTCTTGTAGTCTGTCCTTGGCACAGAAGACAAAACAGGGAAATTCCAGGGCAGCTAAGATAATTAATACAAATTTACATTCACTTGCAGAGTCACTCACTATTCAGAATTACAAATCTCTCTGCATTGGACTAGAGCATAAGCAGTAGCATAAATAGGAAAAATAGCATACTGCATATATAATATACTGTAAAATATTTTTCCCTGGGCACTCTGGTTGCAGCCCACATTCCACAGGCATGCAGTTAAGCTACTTTGCATGTCTAAATTGCCCATAATATATGATTGTAAAAAAAAAAGAAAAAAAATAGGGGAAATAATGGATGCAAACCTGGATTGTGTCCGATGCATCTCCACACCCCCATGATCGTCACCAGGATAAGCAGTGTGAAAACGGGGGCAGTGTTTGGCTCACAGGCTAAGCCTCTGTTCCTGTGATTGGGAGGTCACTGGTTCGAGTCCTGGCCTTGGCAAAATAGTTACCTGCCCATGGGCCAGGCCGTTGCGTGCTGGCTGATCCTGTGCTGTAACCCCCAAGCTTACGCTCACCTGTTTGTGTGTCTCATGGAGAGCAAGAAGGGGTAAACGAAAAGCAAACCTTCACACAGGGATTAATAAAGTATCGCTATTCTAAAATGAGGCAAAGCCTTTTGCGCCAACTTTCTTTGTAATCTTTTTTGTTTTGGTGCTGTAAGAGATGCCCTGGTCCATAACTGACACTATAGTGAAGATCAAAATGGCCTCTGGAGGCAACATGAGCAGAAGAACAGCACATCGGGGACTTAGTGAGAGTGGGTTTCTGTGGCTGAGCACTGCACCATGTAACCATGCACAATGCCAAGTATTGGTTGGAATGGTGTGAATAATTCTGTCATTCTAGAAACAGATAAAAATGCATTCTTTTGATGTAACACACTTCGCCATCTGGTAGTCTGATGAAATGAATTTGAATTTGGCAGATGCCAGGAGAAAGCTACCTGTCCAGATGCATAGTGCCAAGCTTAATGGTCGTTGGAGGAGCATAATTGGTCTGGGGCTGGTTTTGTTGTTTTGGTCTGTTAGTTCCCATAAAGTGAAATCTTACTGTTACTGCACACAAGGACATTTTAGAGTATTGTGTACTTCCAACTTTGTGACAAAAATTTCGAGGAAGGACCTTTCTTGTTTCAACAGCCATGAACAAATTGAGGTCCATACAGAAAGGTTTTGCCAGGTATGGTGTGAAAAACTTCACTGCCCTGGCCTGAGCCTTGGGCTCAACTCCATCAAACATCAAAGGGGTGAATTAGAATTGCCTACCATGCAACTGCATGAGATGTTCAACAAAGATATATGACTGTGATGTTTGGGTGTTCACATTATTCATTATTTTGACCATGTAGTACATGAGAGATGCACAAGCAAGCAGGTATACTTACAGCTTGTAAAATTTGCCAACCAGGAGGGGGGGGTCCCCTTTCGTAACAATTCCAAGTGATGCCTTCAAAATCAATGGACTGGCACCCTGTCTATGTAGTACCCTGCCTTGTCCATCCATCCATCCATCCATCCATCCATTGTCCAACCCACTTATCCTACTGGGTTGTGGGGGTCTGGAGCCTATCCCGGAAGCAATGGGCATGAGGCAGGGAACAACCCTGGATGGGGGGCCAGCCCATCGCAGGGCACACTCACACATGCACACCTAGGGGCAATTTAGCAACTCCAATTAGCCTCAGTATGTCTTTGGACTATGGGGGGAAACCAGAGTACCCGGAGTAAACCCCATGACGACATGGGGAGAACATGCAAACTCCACACGCATGTGACCCAAGCGGAGATTTGAACCCAGGTCCCAGAGGTGTGAGGCAACAGTGCTAATCACTGCACCACCATGCCACCCCCCCTGTCTTGTCAACACATAAATATTTCCATGGATATATTCAAAATTCTATATATATATATATATATATACCTAGGATGATGAGACTTCTTTAAACTTTACTACAAACCAACAGACCTGTTCAGCTAATGAGTACCTACTTGTCATGAAAGTTTTATGGTTTAAAAATTTCACCTTCATTCTGCTGAGAGTGAAACAAGGTATAATTTGTTCCTTGACAAGAAGAAGAATAATGACCTGCTTCTTGGCACAAGGCGGTCTTATTCCCTATCTAAGCGTTTCTTTGCCAATAATGGAAAAAAACACAAGCCTTATTATTACAAGAAGAAGTTCACAGAGGTCAAAAGCACAAAGCTTGAATTTCAAGAAAAAAAAGAGCCCACACATAGTATCGGACTCTAGTACAATGGACATGATTAGTATTACATTAATGTTATTGAATAGCTTTAGTGTAATTATTTTAAAACTCAGTATATTAGCCAAAGCCATAATATACCTGCACATATCATATGATAGCATTGCCTTGGAATAATCAGAGACAATACAAAAGGCTGGTCCGTAGAGGTAAACAATTAGCTGGAAACAGGACTGACTGCCAGTCTTAAGATGCTGCCGGTGGTAGCTGGTGGACCACTGAATGCTTCTGGTGGGAGTTTAATTTTTTTTCTCTACATGCTGACAAACACAGGGCATTGTTTTTCATTGCTTTGTTTTTCATTGAAGTTGTCACAGTGGTGACATGAGCATTCACCTTCATGGATCTCCAGTGAATTTTCATTTGGCATTTCCAGAAATGCACTGCAGCCTATTGCACCTGCAGGCCTGCCTGCACTTGCACCACTCTGCCCAAACCGGAACATACTGTTTTTTCATCCTGGAAAGAGGACCAAATTTAAACATTACGGGATGTACGTGTATGCAGCAATGTTCTGGTAGTGAAAGAATAGTTGATTTTGAAAATGAGCTTCCTGATTTTGCATTATTAAAAAAAACAACAAAAAATAAACTACAAATTCAGAAATTAGTGCCCATGTCTGAGCCAATTCCAATTCTGAATGTTACCTCACACTGAGTGTCTGATTCCCATGATTATCCTTTTGTGTACGACTCCCGCTTTCCCAGTATCCTTGTTCTCTGTCTGGCATTTTGGGTTTGGTTTCTTGCCCTGCACTCACCTTATTGACCCCTGCCTGTGTTTCGATTATGTCTTTCGATTACAATTTGAATTTTTTTTGCCTTCACTCACATCTACCTGTTTTTCAAGCCTCTGCCTACCATTGGGCACCAAGCCTGGAAATAAACCTATACTGTATATGGGTCTGTCAACAATTATATTGTCATTACAGGGTTATCTTTTGTACCTTCTAAAAAGAAGAATCATTGGTCATATTTGACATAAACAGAATAATTGCCATTAAATAATTTAAGCATTGGCTAAATTGATTAACAATTCCCATAGCAATTTTTTATGCAAAACCATTTGTCTTGCAAGCTATCCATAGCGCTGTTAATGATGCCCTGCATCCATTCAGTAGACTACCATGATGTAGTAATCAAATACCCTTATCTTTGCATTCTTCCGTCTCAAACCGCTTATGGTTAAGATTGTGGTCACGAGCTTGCAGCCTTTGACAGGCCTATCCTAAGGAGCACAGGGCAGCGTATAATTAAATGTATCCTATCTCTGCGTCGGTTCAGAAAACGCAGTCTCTTTTGCGTATTTGTGTTTTCCCATATTTAATTTCCTTTAATAATATACCCCTCTCCCCAACTTCTGGCAACCTCGCCATCCAATCTGCGTGGAGCCGGATTCCCCGGTGCCACACCCCCTTCTTCCCAGTCCCATATGGTATGTTCCAGTGATGCTGCGAAGGCAGCTGAAAGCTGTACCAGGAGATCGTACCAGGGCTTGCAATTCAATCGTCTTTCTACGGAAAGACTTGAATACCTGAATGCTTGCTCACCTCACCAAAACAGTAGGTTTAACGAATACCCACTCCCTATTTACTGCATCCCAATTATCTTGCCATCTAACAGTCCAAGATTATACGAGCACTCACTCGGCTTTTAGGGAATCACTGGAGGTGAAGCCAAATGGGATTTAATTTTTTTTCTCGTGATTTATCTTCACTCGCAAGCCATGGAATGGAACGAGCCCTCCGGTAAAGTAGCGCTTTGCAAAAGGTAATATAATCTTTTCCGTTAAATATTTACACATCTCAGCACTTCTCTTGGTTCGAAAGCTGTCGATTCGTACGCAGAAGTAATAGGCAGCTTGGTGTGTAACGCAGCCTGGCTGTCGAAAATGCGGGTCTGTTCATACGGAACATCCGCTGCTATATATTTATCTGGGAGTAGGTGGCTGTAATATTTTTCGGCTTTGGGCCATGATGCAAGTGCGTTTAGAAAGTCCTCACATGAGGTCCATAGTTATTTCTGAAAAGCCATGAATGCAGATATGCTGCGCGTAACGTAATTAAATTATACCTACTGTACTTGAACATTGTTTGTTGTGTTCATCTAATTAATTACTAAGTTTTTAAAAGGAGATACTACCACCATATCATATTACTTATCATTCCGCATTATTATTTTAACTATTTAGTCCTACTCGGTATTAATAGAAATATGTAAATCGAATAATTTATAGGAGTCAAAACAGTATTTTTTTTTTTTTCTGGCATTTCGCAACCTAATTGTGTTGAAAAAAATAATTATAAATTTGTTATTCTTTAAATATTAATATTTGCTTTTTAACCTTAATGATAAACATTTTTACGTGTTTATTTCCTGTTATATACCACAGGAGTGAACAGGTGTTGGAAATAATATTTTATATCGATATTGTTACTAGCATGTTTCATTTTGTATATATTAGCACATGTATTATTTTTTCTCTTAACGATAATCTGGCAGCGCTACATACCATTTCACACCATCCTAAAATTAACCTTGTTTTTCTCCTTGGACAGTGAAATTTGGTTTGCCTGTTCTGGCATTTTCTCTCGTTTAAACTTTTTGTCTATACTTTGTACCAAACAAATTAATCAGTGAAACCTATATTTTTCTTTCAAATATACGATTCAGTACTTACACTTAAGTAATGTATGAACACCATAATTGCAATATTATGAGAACATGTAGTAAAACATCAGTGTTAATGCATGTTATTTTTGATGTGATTAAAAAACGTCTTATTTTTAAATAGTAATTTAGCCAAAACAGCCGATTAAAGGTTGTTAAAAGTTATACTTCTTGTTTACTGATGCTGATATGTACCTACCTATAAATATTTCGAAAGATTGCAAGAATCGTACATGTTTTCTCATTATAGTCAGAATTAACTTTATTTGAAGAAAAGATGCAAGAGTAGTACAGGCTTCCGTTAGTTGGGAAGTTGGGATAACAGTTTGCAAAATTAACTTACTCTGTGTTGTCTTAATTTCAGGAGTTTAGCTTACAATGTCAAATGTTATTTCATGCTAAACTAGTATTAAAAAAAATCAAAATTCCATAAAGTAGCATTTTTAGCTGGTTAATAAGATCACTTGGCCTGAAGGGATACTTTATTTAAATTGATCTCTTAAAGTCAGGGGATGCCGTCATCTTAAGTGTAACATCCCTTTTATGTGTGGTTGGAACTTATCTGGTGATTGACAGAGATTTATTTTGGGTCAGAATTTTATTGTTTGTTGTTGAAGCTCAATGATCTATGAAATAGAGAAACACTTGATCGGTTAGTAGGGTGGTGAGTGTTTCAGGTCTGCCACCACCCTTTGCATGCAGTTAGGCTGACTGGCATTTGTAAATCACCTGTAGGGTGTACGTGTATCCTGTGTGACCTGCAATGAACTGGCATCTTGTCAACCAGGATGAGCAATGGTTGGAGATTAGGGTTTTGCAGTTGAAAATAAAATGCTCTGAAATAAAAGGAGTGGTTTTAATTTTAGTCCCCCCAAGCTCTAAATATAGATTTTGTTTAACACTGATGAGTTCCATTTGTAGTCATTTAGGGTTAAATGAGATAATTATTAAACTAAATTTTATACTGTCTTTTTAGCTGAGATTTTACACAAAAACAGTTCCATCATTTAAGGTTTTTTAAGGTTTTCTAATGAATATTTGTGATTTATTTGATAATGTAATTCCAACTATTATGTAATTCCATTAAATATTATGATAGAGCTGTATAGCTTGCGGAGTCCGATCATTCTGTTACGTTAGCGAGTGAGGACAGCAAGAACGGACCCAGCTCTTCGCAATTCATCCTGACTGGAGAATTTTATTTGGGGTACTGGCAAGTACAGGATGGGAAGCAACCAACATGAACAGGGGATGATGATGGGCTGGGGAACTATTAGCCAAGTAAGGAAGGAGGGTGCAGGAGAACCAGCAGTACCTCTGCTGGTCCTCACAGGGTTAGGAGAGGGCAGGCCTGAGCAGTTCGTTATAGAACCCCCCCATTCCCATCTCGAGGTGTACACTCCGGGCATGCTGAGGCACCGCTACGGGTGGGACAGAAGGTGCAGCATTGGGGACAGAGAACAAAGGACTGGGGGAACAAAGACAGGCAGACCACAACAGGAGACCAAGGAAACATACCAGACCCCCTGATGCTGGAAGTACAGGGCCAGGAGCAAGAGGCCTCCAGGATGTTGTCCAGCAGCCACCAATGAGGAACCAAGAGGTGATGAGGAGGCCACTGAAGGGGAGTCTTGAGGCAGCAAGGAGGCTGCCAAAGGGGAGCCTGGAGGTGGTGAGGAGTCTACTGATGGTGAACCATAAGGGGATGAGGAGGCTGCTGATGGAAGACCTGGAGGTGGGGAGGAGGCTGCCGGCGGGGGACCTGGAGGTGGCAAGGAGACCGCTGATGGGTAACTAGGAGGAGCCAGTGAGATGGTGGCTTAGGCAGGCACAGATGGGATAGCTGAAAGCACTGCCAGGGAGGTGTAGGGAGACGGAAGGTGGCAATTAGGTGTCAACAGGGAAGGAGGGTGCTGGCAAGGCATCAACAGGCAAGGAGTGCATCAGCGAGGTGTCAGTAGGTAAAGAGGGTGGCAACACTGCCAGAGCAGATGAGGAAGACGCAGACAGGAAGCCAGCAGGCAGTGAGGAACCTGGGGAGGCAGGCGATGGAGGGATGGCACGAGACAAGGTGGGCACCGCAGGAATGGCAGGAGATCAGCAGGGTGAAGCCGGGACGGCAGGAGGCAAACAAGGCGAAGCCTGGATACCTGGAGGTGAGCAGGGTGAAGCCGGGGTACCTGCTTCGACTACTGCGGTTCCCAGCAGGATGGCAGGCAAGACACAGCAGCTTGCACGGCCCAGAGTGGTGTCTGGTGTGAGGCATGGCCTCATGTGGGACGGACGCGAGGCGTCTCAGGACAGGCTTGGGTGGCACAGCTGCTACGGACCCGGGCACAGGCAGTGTGGCCCCTCTTGGGTTACACATCTGGGACACGGGCAGGTGTGCCCTCACTAGGCTGGGAACGGGGGACACTGGGAGAGAGGCCCACTCTGAGTCAGGAACCTGGGACATGGGCAGAGAGGCTGTCTTTGGCATGAGAACCAGGATTCCCATGATTTCTGGAGGCGAGGTGAGGTGAGGACGGCCTCTCGAACCACAGCAGAAGCAAGGACGGCCTTGGGAGGTACAGTAGAGTTGAGGACGGCCTCATTAAGGGAGCTGTAGCACAGGACGGCGGATCAGCAATGAGCGGCAGGGAGCCGGCAGGCCCGACCTTTGTGGTGAACAGCAGGAAGCCAGCAGGCTCCACCTCGGGTGTTTCAATCCCGATGGCATTTGCAGGACCTGAGGAAAAGCCAAGGCAGGTCCCTGTAGTGTGGACTCAGTAGAGGCATATTCACCTCCTCCAGAAGGGCCTGAGGGCTTCCCAAATTGCAGTCACCTCCTTGACCTCCAGTTCTGGTGAGAGGGTTCCTATGTGTTCCCACAACTCCTGAAGATCGGCCATTCTCTCAAGGGAGAGATGCGCCATAGCTTCTTCCGGCACAGCCAGGTACATGCTAAACAGCAGTACACGTTTGGTCGGCGGTCAGGAGCCAGGGCATCCACCGCGTCTCTCTCTGGGATGGTTGGATGTTCACTGATGCTGGGAACTGGCCGTTCTGTCCTACAGCTCCCTTAACTCAGAGAATGCAGTCACCCGGTGCTAGAGTGCTCAGAGGGAGGCATTGGACGGGGGAAGAGCTGGGTAGCTTGTGGAGTCCAGTCATTCTGTTTTATCGACGGGTGAGGACAGCAAGACAAGACCCAGCTCTTTGCAATTCACCCTCGTTGGGGAACGTTATTTGGGGTACAGGCAAGTAATGATTGGGAGACCGCCAACACAATCAGTGGATAATGACCAGACTATGGAACACAGGATAGGGAGGCATTTTCTCGGATGTGCTGCCTGGAGACCCCAAATTTTCAAGATATCCTGCCTACTCTGCTGCCTGCGACGTCTCCACTACCCGCGACTTCCTTCCGGCCTGCTCGCCCTTCTACCTGTGGTGTCTTCTCTGTAACACTGTTCACCCTGCCATCTGAAGCAGCTCCAACACTTGCCCGTCATCACTTCCCTGTCCCCCGCTCTGTGACTCAAATGTTAAGACAGGGAAAATGTGAACTGGAACTTTGCCATCTTGATCAATTGACTTTCCCTGCCAGCCCCAGGAGGATGGGTTCCCCCTCTGAGTCTGGTTCCTCCTAAGGTTTCTTCCTTCTAGGGAGTTTTTTCCTTGCCACTGTCGCCTCTGGCTTAATCACTGGGGGCTTTAGGCGGGAATGCTGTAAAGCGCTTTGAGACAATGTAATGTTGTGAAAATGCGCTATACAAATAAAGTTGAAATTGAAATATACTGGAATAATTAGGGGGTAATGAGGGACAGGCATGGACTGTTAATACTACCCAGCAATCTCCTGGCCCTCACGGGGATAGGACAGGGTAAGCTGGAACAGATCATGACACACAGCACACATGCACACTATGGATGGGAATCACCAATGACCTCCCGATATGATATTATCACGATACCTACCGTGTTTCCCTGAAAATAAGACCTACCCCGAAAATAAGGCCTGGCATGATTTTTCAGGATGCTCGTAATTAGGGGTGTAATGATATACTCAGCCGACGAAAGGAGACACGATATTGGGATCGCGAGAACCAGACGAGACG